GGCGGACGCGGAAGCGGGAGCCCGCCAGGCACTCGCGCCGCGCGCCTGCAGCCGCGGGAGCCGGAATCCTACCGGCTCGGGTTGATTTGTAAACAATGGGTGACGTCGCCGCCGGGCCCTACCACCGCGCCGGGCAAGGGGTGCGCCGAACCGTTGGGGGGCGGGGCGCCGGCTGGGCCCCGGTGCAGGGTGAAGCCTAGCTGGTTCTGAGCTCCCCAACCCGAAGTGGTGGGTGCAGGAGGGCGCTGGGGTGCGGATACTCGCTCTGTCAGCCGGGCGTCGTTGGCAGTTCCCAAAAATGAACACCGGCGTGGATTTAGTTGGTTTCTTCCACACACAAGCACAGACACTTACACCCACACACTCCCCTCCTCTAGGCGCGTCAATTCGTCTGGTTTTGGCATTTGCGCTTTAGAGGTCCGGGTGCCAGCGTCTGGGAAGTGATGACCCGGCGAGTGAGGCGAGGAAGGAGATCTCAGGCTAGGGATCTGTCTGGAGATTAGGGAAACGAGGCTGACACGGATGAAAAGGAAGACCGGGGACCTTGTGGTTCGTTGGGGGTGGGGGCGGGGGAGCGGTGGCAGAGTAAGAACTGGCGAAGAAAGGCCAGATGAGTGTTTTTTGACCGGGAGCATGGGTATATGCGGGCCTGGCCTGGGGCTGGCCGTCCTGGAGAGGAGGAGGTCTTTTGTCTTGGGCGGGGGTGTGAGCTGAGCTAGAAAGTTCTTTTTTTTTTTTTTAAGATTTTATTTATTTATTTCACAGAGAGAGAGCACAAGTAGGCAGAGAGGCAGGCGGAGGGAGAGGGAGAAGCAGGCTCTCCGCCGAGTAGGGAGCCCGTTGTGGGACTCGATCCCAGGACTCTGGGATCATGACCTGAGCGGAAGGCAGACGCTTAACGACTGAGCCACCCAGGCGCCCCCAGGGGAGGTACATTATCAGGGTGAGAGAAATATTCAAAACCGGATTATGGTGATGGTTGAATAACTTAATTTACTAAAAATCATTGAACGTTCTCTTAAAATGAGTGAATTTCATATGTAAATTATGTCAATAAAGCTATTTTAAAAATCAGCCACAATGCATGTACACACCAATATAGAAGCCGAGCGGTAGTATTTAGAACACAGAGCAGGACAGCAGTCTAATTCAGAAAGGGAGAGCCAGAGGAACTCTGGGGTCCAGATAAAGAGACTCTGGGGTCTTGGTGGCCAGTTCTAAGATGGGTAATTACAGGAGCAAACCTTCAAAGAGGGATGGGGTGGAGGGAATAGGTGGGTAGTTGTTTAAAAAGAGTTGGGGTTATTCTTTCCAAGTGTGGAGAGAAGAATGTGGGGATAAAGGAAGAGGCAGTTCGAAGAAAGCCAGTGAATTTTTAAATCTTGGAAATGTGGACTTCTACAGGATGTCATAAAATTCATCACTTCTTTTTAGCAGGCGCCTAAGGATTTTCTCTCTATATAATCCTAACATCTACAAATAAAGATAGTCTCTTTCTTTCTAGTCTGGATGCCTTATCTTTCTTGCCTAGTCGTCCAGCTAGAACCTCCAAAACAGTGTGGAGTAGAAATGGTGAGGGCAGACATTCATGTCTTGTTCCTGATCTTAGGGAAAAGCATTCAGTCTTTCATTATCAAGTATGATGTTGTCTCTGTGTTTTTATAAAAAGATGGCTTCATCAGGTTGAGGACATTCCCTTCTATTTCTGGTTTGTTGAGCATTAAAAAAAAAAAAAGATATTTGAGAGAGAGAGAGAATGAACGAGCAGGGAGGACGGGCAGAGGGAGAGAGAGAGAGAGAGTAGACTCCCCGCTGAACAGGGAGCTTGATGTGGAGCTCGATCCCCGGACCTGGAGATCATGACCTGAGCTGAAGGCAGATGCTTAACTGACTGAGCCACCTAGGTGCCCCTGTTGAGCATTTTTTATCTTGAAAGGGCCATCCCCTCATTTTAAATCATTATTCATTTGAAAGTATGGTCAAGACAGACATTTATTAGTACAATATTCTCAACCTAATTATTTAAAAATCTAAATGCAAATAATTAGTAGCAGCTTACAAGCTGTGTTTTTATTCTTTGGTTCAAAATTTGTAAGCCTCATACATCATTTTGGACATGAAAAATAGTACAACCACTTTGGGAAGAGGTCTGGCAGTTTCTTACAAAGCTGAACATACACTTACCCTATGAAAGAATTTCAATCCTAGGCATTTACCTAAGAGAAATAAAAGCTTAGGTTCACATTGCGGCCTATTGCCAATGATGAGCATAACAGCTTTATTCATAAAAGCTGGAAACAGCATAAAAACAGCAGCTCAAGTGTTTATCAGCAGGTGAATGGGTAAATGATGGCACAGTCACATGATGATGGTGGCAGAATCCTCTTCAGCAACCAAAAGGACTGGAGTATTGCTACATGCAGTAACATGGATGCATCTCAAAAACAGTATGCTGAGTGAAAAGGAGGAGCACATACTGTATGATTCTGTTTATATGAAGTTTCAGAACAGGCAAAATTAATTTTTGGTGGGAAAAAAATCAGAAGACAGATTGCCTTTGGAGAGGGTGTGGTGGGGACAAGGACTGAACTGGAAGAAGCCTGATGGTTGGGTTTCACAGGCATATGCATGTGTTAAAACTCACTGAACCATACACTTAGAATTCATTGGATGTAAATTTTACCTGCAAAGAAAAAACCAAACAAATACTAGAATTCTAGTTAACAGACAGGCTGATGAGTGTAGGGGTGGAGTGTACTGATGTTTGCGATTTATTCTCAAGTGTACACAAACACGAGATGGATTGATATATGGTTAGAAGGATGGTTAAGACAGGAGACAGGTAGATATACGGTAAAGCATGAATAGTGAAATGTGACATTAGTTACCATATGACCCAGCAATTCCACTCCTTAGATATGTACCTGAGAGAATTGGAAACCTATGTCCACACGAAAAATTGCACAGAAATGTTTGTGGCATTATTTGTAATAGCCAAAAAGTAGAACAACCCAAATGTTCATTAGCTGATGAATGGAAGAACAAAATGTTGTCTATTCATACAATGGATTGTCATTCGTCATAAAAAGGAATGAAGTACTGTTCTATGCTACAACATGAATGAACGCTGAAGACCTATGCTAAATGAAAGAAACGAAAACACAAAAGGCCACATCTTGTATGATCCTATTTATATGAAATGTCCAGAAAAGACAAATCCGTAGAGACAGAAGGTAGATTAATGGTTGGCAGGGGATGGGAGGAGAAGGGAATTAGGACTAACTGCTAATGCGTAGGGGGTTTCTTTTGGGGTGATGAAAATGTCTTGGAATTAGTGGTGATGTTTGTAGAGTGTAGTGAATATACTAAAGCCACAAGTAGACACTTCAAAAGTATATGTCAGTTCTTTAAATGCTAAAAAATATTAATGGTAGAATATAGGTGCTGGGTAATAGGATAGTTCATGGTCAAATTCTTTCAATTCTGTTGACAGAAAATGTTTAGAATCAAGTGCTAGAAAAAAATAAGCCACACAAAAGAGCTGATTAATTTTACGACTTTCCTTTAGACCTGCCCAGGGCCTGGGGGGCTCAGGGCAGGCCACTGGGAAGGAAGGGAGCAAGGAGACACCCGGCTGGCGGGTTGCCTGCCGCCTGGCATGGGAACTGTGTAGACTCATTCTCCAGTGCAGAAAGGATGTAGGCAGTCTGCTGCAGGTTGATTAAGTTCTTGCGCCCACTGTGCAGGATTTCAAACTGTATGGCAGGAATGAGGCTTGACACTGTTTCTGAGGCCAGCAGCATCCCAGAGTGCTGAGCGATGGGCCTCTGCCTCAGCAAGGCAGACACAGGATCACCTCTTTACCAGTCCCTTCATTGCTGCCCAGCACCCAGACCCGGAGGCTCTCGGAGCTGAGTTGGTTGGGGAGGAGGGATTTGTACACAGAGAATTTAAGAGATTAGGGGATTCACACTGAGATGCAAAGAGGTGCTAATGAGATATTAAACACCTCTCAGTAAAGTAGCAGCTGAGGAAGCTGGAAACGGAGAAGTCAGAAGTTGAAAATGTCTTGAGGCTGCTGATAGGACGGGAAAGATAACTGGCCACTGGTTAAATGGGGTGCTAGGAAGAGTGGGGTCTGTAACTTGGTGGTTAAACTGGATAAGCGGCTTCGGGTTAACACTGATTCAGGAGTGTGAAATATTTTGCCATTTATAAAAGTAGAAAGGACTCAAGATGGGATGAGGTTGAGAGGGACAGAAGGGCAGGTGGAGACTTGAGTAGTGCACTGAGTTAAATGGGATTCCCTCCAAATTCCTGTCTGCCAGGAACCTATAAATGGGACCTTATTTGGAAAGAGGGTCTTTGCAGATGTAATCAAGTTAAGATGAGGTCAGACTGGATTAGGGTAGACTCTAATGCAGTGGCTGGCATCCTTATAAAAGAGGG